GGGTTAAAGCCCCAGCCTGCAGCACCAGCATCCCATATGGGCAACAGTTTCAAGTCCCAGCTGCTCCAGTTCCAATCCAGCTCCCTGCTAATGTGCCTGGGAAAGCAGCGGAAGGTGGCCCCTGCACCCACATGGGAGACCCAGAAGATGCTCCCAGCTCCTGGCTTCAGATTGGCTGCACTCCAGCCATTTGGGGGTTGAACCAGCAGATGGAAGACCTCTCCTCTCTGTCTCTACCTCTCTCTGTAACTCTTTCAAGTAAATAAAATTACTATTTTTAAAATAAAAAAAAAGATTCTATTGATTGATTTGAAAGGCAGAGTGACAGAGAGAGAGAGAGAGAGAGAGAGAGAGAGAGATGTCTTCCATCTGATGGTTCACTCCCCAAATGCCTACAACAGCTGGGGCTGGGGCTGGGGCTGGGGCTGGCCAGGCCAAAGCCAGGTGCATGGAACTCCATCTGGGTCTCCCGCATGGGTGGCAGGAATCCAAGTACTCAGGCATCACCCCTTGCCCTTCCAGAGTGTGCATTAGCAGGAAGCTGGGTTGGAAGCAGTATCACTGGAACTTGGGACCTGACCCAGCACTCCCATATGAGATGCAGGCATTGCAACAGTGGCTTAACCCAGTTGCACCACAATGTCTGCCCAAAAAGCTCTGTTTTGGAGAAAGTGAGCTTGAAATGTCTGTCGGCATCCACCTGGAGCTATCATCCAGAGTTCTAGGAAGAAGGGTAGGCTGGAGGTCCATTGAGAATCAGCATGTACATGATAATGAAGTCATAGAATTGGAAGGGATAGAAAAGAAGAAATAATCAATGAGAGGTCTGATTGAGGTGTCAGCAAAGGAGACCGACAGGGATGAGCCCATAAGCAGGAAGAAAACAAAGAGTGCAATGTGGAAGAGGAGGCTTCTTGGAGCCGGGGGTCCCAGCTGCCCCAGAAGCACACACCATAAAAGGAGGATGTGCAGCCCGGGATGAAGCAGTGCAAGGCGAAATCCTGCTCTGGAAGCCAGAGGACTGGAAAACAAACACTCAGTGTTGTTCAGCTCCTGGAAGCAACTGTCCTTGTATGCGTAACACTTGGAGGGAGAGGATCCTGAACGGAGAGGAAGGGCTCTTTGAGTATCACATGAGTAATACCAAAACACATTTTCTAAACCACTCCATACTAATGTCATTGCTCATGAGTCAGGGGATGGCCTGAGACCTCCCAGCGAGACAGAGCAGGTATCACAGGGTACTGCATAATAAGGAAAAGCGTTCCTCCGGAGAGCCTGCCTCCAAAGCCAGGGAGCAGTGCTGCGCCTCTCTCCGAAATGACCTCCAGGCGGCAGCAGTGAGCAGAGCACCGGGCGGAGCCTAGAACTGCCCCAGGCAGAAAGGGAGGAAGTCCGGCCGCTTACGCGAGGACTCCCTCTGGCTCCGCCTCTCTCTCCCCCACCCGCCCGCCAGTGACAGCTGCGCCGGTGGGAGGAGAGCTGGGACCGTTAGCCGCGGCGCTGCGGTGTCTACTTAAGCCTCCGGCTCCCTTCCCTAAGGCTCACCGTTGTTGCTCCTGCCGGGTGAGCGGCAAAGCACTTTCTTACAAGGTCTGGCAATCCTATATAAAACCAGAGGCGGGGGCTTGGCCTAGAGACAAACACTAGCTCCACGTGGAAGGGTCTGGGTTCGATACCTGCCTCTGGCTTCCGACTCTGCACCCTGGGAATCAGCAGGTGATGGCTCCGGTACTTGACTCCCTGTCACCCAAGTTGGAAACCTGGATTGGGTTTTTGTTTCCTGGCTTCAGCTCTGTGTCTCAAATTTATTCAAAAGAACTCTACTTGGTGTTTTACATGTTAAATATTGGAAGTGAAACGCACAGACGTATTCAACGTTGGAATGTGTCACAAAAAAGATGGGTTGATGGGTGGAACCAGGGTCGATGTATACAGATGTGCTAAGTATAGCAGAATATTAATTGTAGAATGGTGGTGGGTGTACAGGTGCTCACTGTAAAAATCTTTCAGTCTTTTTGTCTATGCCTGAATATTTTCATAATACAATGTTGGGGTTGCCAGGGTCTAAGAGGAAAGAATAGTAAATTACTGTTTAATGGGTACAGAGTTTCTGTGTGTGGTAATGAAAATATTTTGAAAACAGATCGTGGTGATGGTTGTATATTTTGAATGTACTCAATGCCATAAATTATACTTTTTTAAAAAAGATCTATTTATTTGAAAGGTAGAGTTACAGAGAGGCAGAGGCAGAGAGAGGTCTTCCAGCCACTAGTTCACTCCCCAAATGGCTGCAATGCCGGAGCTGGGCCAATCCGAAGCCAGGAGCCAGGAGCTTCTTCTGGTCCTCCCATGGGAGTGCAGGGGCCCAAAGACTTGGGCCATCTTCTACTGCTTTCCCAGCCCATAGCAGAGAGCTGAATGAGAAATGGAACAGCTCGGACTTGAACCGGTGCCTATATGGGATGCTGGCACTGCAGGTAGCGGCTTTACCTGCTACACCACCGCACTGGCCCCATAAATTATACTCTTAGTGTGGCATAGTGGGTTAAGCCATCACCTGCAGCACTGGCATCCCATATGCACGCTGGTACTAGTATGGGTACTAGTACTGTTACTCACCTCCCCATAATTAATGTAATCATATCTGCAAAGTCCTTTTTGCCAATGTAAGGAAGGTAACAGTCAAAGCTAGGGAGAGGTCATTAGTCTAGCTACTACAATGAGTTCGGCATTTTTCCTTAAGGTACTTATTTACTCATACCTAACAGCTGGCACTCAATATATCAAGGCAACACTGAAAATTCTCCCTCATAGTTTTATCAAGATGTAATGCAAATACTACACAATTTAATCAAAGCATGCAATTCAATGGTTTTATTTTCAAAATTTTTACTTAGTTGCATTTTATTTGAAAGGCAGAGAAAGATCTTCCATTTGCTGGTTCACTCCCCAAATGTCTATGAATGACAGCCAGGCCCAATCTGGGGCTCCCATGTGGGTGGCAGGGGACCCAAGTACCCCCGCCATCATCCACCTCATTCCGGGGGCGCACATTAGCAGGAAGCTGGATCAGAAACAGAGTAGCCTGGAGTCCAGGCCAAGCACTCCAATATGGGATACGGGGTCCCAGGAGGGGACTTCACTATTGCAACAGACACGGGCCCCAAGTGGTCTTTGGGATAGTCACGGAGTTGTACAACTATAACCACAGTTCTAGAACAGTTTCATCTCTCTCCTGATTTTATACATGAGGAAACAAGCTTGAGGCACAAGGAAACTTGCTTAGGATGACAGCTGCTCGAGTTCACCATGGGAATGACTGGCAGGTGCTGCCCACGCAGCCCAGGTTCACCAGGCCACGCCAGTCAGCCGGGAGCAGCCTGCTGTCCTGTTAAGCAGTTGTAGTTAGGAAGCAGGCGCCTTGGGTTCTAGGCGTGGTTTGGCTGCCTTCAAGCTACGTGACCCTTGGTAAAACCTCCTCTGAAAGATGATGGCAATTTAATCCATGGCAAATAAGGCAGCTGGACTTACAAGGTGCCTCCCAGCTACTAATTCATCTCTCAATGAGGGAAAGAAACATAATTAAAAAGAAATTCTTGGCCGGCGCTGCGGCTCACTAAGCTAATCCTCTGCCTTGCGGCGCCGGCACACGGGGTTCTAGTCCCGGTCGGGGCGCCGGATTCTGCCCCGGTTGCCCCTCTCCCAAGCCAGCTCTCTGCTGTGGCCAGGTAGTGCAGTGGAGGATGGCCCAAGTCCTTGGGCTCTGCACCCCATGGGAGACCAGGAGAAGCACCTGGCTCCTGCCATAGGATCAGCGCGGTGTGCCGGCCGCAACTCACCAACCGTGGCGACCATTTGGAGGGTGAACCAATGGCAAAGGAAGATCTTTCTCTCTGTCTCTCTTTCTCACTGTCCACTCTGCCTGTAAAAAAAAAAAAAAAAAAAAAATTCTTGGCCATTCCTTCTGCGGGGCACATCACCAGGCGCTCGCCAGGTGGTAAGAGCGGGAAGCGCCATCAAGTGGGTTATGCCGGACCAGGCAGCGGGAGTGAAGGTGCCCAGGGCACACCTGCTGCAGTCCGACCATTGCTCCCGGATAGAAAGAGGCCCCCCCCCCCATGTTTGAAGGAAAGATGCTGCAAAGCTTAGAAAGATTCCTTTTCTGAGTGTAAAAGATCAGTGTTGAATGCCAGTCTAAGATTCACAGCCAGGAGGGCTGGCCTGTGGCACAGCGGGTAAAGACGCCGCCTGCAAGGCCAGCATCCCATCTGGACGCAGGTTCGAGTCCCGGCTGCTCCACTTCCCATCCAGCTCCCTGCTCGTGCACTGGGGAAAGCAACGGAAGGTGGTCCAAGACCTTCGGCCCCTGCACCCATATGGGAGACCCAGACGAAGCTCCTGGCTCCTGGCTTCTGCCTGGCCCAGCCCACACTACCTCTGCAACTCTGCCTTTCAAATAAATAAATAAATCTTTAAAAATGAATAAATTGTCTAGTCGTCAGTGCTCTTCAGAATTTCCTGAAGAGCGCAACTTACACACTCCCCTTAGACCGCGGCACCTGGCACAGGTCTCAAGAGTTCCTCACTCCTGGGTCTCAGCCCAGGACAGATGGGAAGAACGACCCTTACAAAGGCAGAGAAAGGTGCAAACAGGGTTAGGCCTGCCCGGGAATGAACAGTGGTGCTGGGCGGAAACGGAGGTGTGGTGGGCCAACGCAGACGCCGTGGGGAGCGCGGCTGGACCGCTAGTCCCGGGAGCTGACCTACAGCGCCACGGACACCGCGCAGCCGCAGCGTGGGCCGCCTCCCCCGCGCCCACTCGTCCGCCGGCTCCGCCCAAAGGCCCGCCTCCCTCCTCTGTGCGATTGGTGCAGCCCGCGTGGAGGAGCCCAACGAAAGACAAGCCCGTCGTCACGCCCCTGTCCCTGATTGGCTGGAGAATTTAAAGACCCGGCCGGTGATAGGGTGATTTTCTTCCTCCCTAGTATTCAAAAGTTTCTACTCTAGGTTCATCGCCACGCCGGCTCCGATCTGCGTTTTCCTCCGAGTGCCGGCTCCAGTGAGTTCCTGCCTGAGCCTGATTCTTGTAGGGGTCCCAGCCAGCGGGGAGGGTGCAGACGAGTGGGTCAGACGGGAGGACCACGGATCCCGGGAATCAGGGGCTCCTGCGATTTCCCCAGGCAATCATGCGCCCTCTCCACGCCGTCCCCACTTCGCAGCCTCGTAACCACACTGGCCCCGACTCCTCCGAGACGTCCTTTGCCGCTCCCAGGCTGTGCGCTCTGGTCCACGGTCACAGAGCGGCCTGCCTGTCTACGTGTAAACCAGCGAGCGCGTCTGCAGACCGAGGGCGCTCACAATCTGTCGGTCCCCTTCCTCCTGGGGAAGGGGCCCGGGCATCCCCGTGCCGGCCCTGGCTCTCCCGCAGCCTGGTTTGCTTGCTTGCTTGCTGAGCAACCCTTGCAGGACACCCGAGGCTCCCCAGCCCTGGGTGCATCCCACGCTGCGCAGCCGCAGCTCCGGAAACTGCAGCAGAGCATATTTAGTGCACTTTTAAGAGCGGCTTTTCGGTTAACCCCAGGGCCCTTTTGCCGTCTCCTTGGTGATACTAGCGGTGGCCTCTGTGACCCTAGGTGGCCTTCACAGGGCTCCGCATCTCGCCTCTAAACCACCCATTGTGTCTCCGAAGCCACCGTCACCCCTGTGCGCTGGTCTCTCCGCAGAGCGTCAGAAGCCGAGGCGATGCTCTCGGGCACCCGGGCTGCGGCCGCGGAATGTGATGACGCGGAGCTGCGGTGCCGCGTAGCAGTGGAGGAGCTAAGCCCCGGCGGGCAGCCGCGAAGGCGCCAGGCCCTGCGCACCGCGGAGCTGAGCCTGGGCCGTAACGAGCGCCGCGAGCTGATGCTGCGGCTGCAGGCTCCGGGGCCCGCGGGGCGGCCGCGCTGCTTCCCGCTGCGCGCCGCGCGCCTCTTCACGCGCTTCGCCGCCGCGGGGCGCTCCACATTGCGGCTGCCGGCCGCCTGCGCCCCGCGCCCGGGCGCGGTGCAGCTGCTGCTCTCCGACTGCCCGCCCGACCGCCTGCGCCGCTTTCTGCGCACGCTGCGCCTCAAGCTCGCCACGGCCCCGGGGCCCGGACCGGCTTCTGCCCGCGCGCAGCTGCTCGGCCCACGGCCCCGAGACTTCGTCACGGTCAGCCCCGTGCAGCCCGAGGAGCTGCAGCGCGTGGCGGCGCCCCGGGGGCCGGACACTACTCTGGAGAAGCAGCCTGAGGAGCCGGGGAGAAGCGCCAGGCCCACCACGGTGAGGACACGAGCGGGGCGTCTCTGAACGTCCTTGGGACGTCTAAGTATGACAGGGATGTGGGGACTGACACTGGGTAAGACAACAGGGAAGGGGATCCAGGCCACTAGAAAGTCGAGAAGAGACCCTGGAAAGGTGAGGAGGAGAGTGTAGCAGGCCAGGGGGAGAGGCCTTGGTGGTCAGCAGTGGCCAGGGCAGCCAACATCTAACAAGATAGGGGGACATATGAGGGGTCTGAGACTACTCGGGTAATGGGGCAGGTGGATGGAGACGGAGCTGATGAGAACTTGGGGCAAGAAGGGGCCTTGGCTAGGCAGGATTTGCCTGGAGTGGTTTTGTTGCTTTATCTAGGTATTTGAAAGGCAGAGTTACAGAGAGGGAGAGGGAGAGACAGAGAGATCTTCCATCCTCTGATTCACTCCCCAAGGAACTCCATCCAGGTCTCCCCCATGGCTGCAGGGGCCCAAGTGCTTGGGCCATCCTCTGCTGCTTTCCCAGGTGCATTCGCAGGGAGCCAGATGGGAAGTGGAGCAGCCGGGACTCAAATCAGTGAACCAGTGCCCATATGGGATCTGGTGTTGCGGTTGGTGGCTTCACCTGCCATGCCACAGTGTCGGCCCCTGGCTTCAAAGCTTTGAGGTGACAGAGACAGGCTTGTGATAGAAAGAGAAGTGAGAAGGGAAATTGGGTGGCAAGACACAAAGGGTTAGGGAACCCAGCGAGGGAGCTGATGGAGGATCCAGGTCCACACTGCGCATCTTCCGGGCACAAGGAGAGACCCGAACCCCAGGAGTGGCTGGCAGGAGCTCCAGGTCAACCAGGGCAGCCCCTGAGACAGCCTGGTCTTCCCAGGATGCCCCAAGGTGGCCGCTGCCTGTGAAGAGGCTGAACTTGCCGCCTGCCAAGCGGCAGCTCTCGGAGGAGCAGGCTGCCGTGCTGGGGGCCGTCCTGCGAGGCCAGAGTGTCTTCTTCACCGGCAGTGCAGGTAGTGGGCAGGGCACTGGCAGGGCGGCCGTGGGGGGGTGGGAGGGGGGAGCAGGCGGCCCTGACTCTGCTTCCGGCCCAGGAACAGGGAAGTCATACCTGCTGAAGCGTATCCTGGGCTCCCTGCCCCCCACAGGCACTGTGGCCACTGCCAGCACCGGGGTGGCAGCCTGCCACATCGGGGGTACCACCCTCCATGCCTTTGCGGGTGAGTGAGGCCCCGGGGCTCAGGCTAAGAGCAAACCAGGTCTGGAGGTCAGGTTGGGGGAGGGGGATGTTGGAGTCTCTGCCCAGGCTAAAAAGTGTCCCTCGCAGGCATTGGCTCTGGCCAGGCTCCTCTGGCCCAGTGTGTGGCCCTGGCCCAGCGGCCGGGGGTGCGGCAGGGCTGGCTGAGCTGCCAGCGGCTGGTCATTGACGAGATCTCCATGGTGGAGGCGGACCTGTTTGACAAGCTGGAGGCCGTGGCCAGGTCAGTACGTGCAGCGAGGGCAGTGAGGGAGGGCTGGGAGCTGGTGGGTCTGGGGGGAGTCTGCCCCACCCCAGCCCCTAAAGCACCAGGGCTCCTCTGCAGAGCTGTGCGGCAGCAGAATAAGCCGTTTGGAGGGATCCAGCTCATCATCTGTGGGGACTTCCTGCAGCTGCCACCGGTAACCAAGGGCTCCCAGCCCCCACGCTTCTGCTTCCAGGTACCACTTACTCCCTGGGCCTGCCCACAGCGAGGGCTGCTCCCCTCTCTGACCCACGTCTTTCCTGTCCCCAACAGGCCAAAAGCTGGAGGCGGTGTGTGCCTGTGACCCTGGAGCTGACAGAGGTGTGGAGGCAGACAGACCAGACCTTCATCTCTCTGCTGCAGGCTGTGAGGCTGGGAAGGTGGGCCCTGGGTGAACAGGGAAGGGGCTGGGGGTGAGGATCCAGGCACGGGCCCTGGGTGGCAGGGGAGGGAGGTGCACTGGAACAAGCAGCCTGTACAGGGAGATGGAAGGACCATGGGCAAGCCGGGCAGACTGTAGTTAGGAGGGTCCTGGCCCATAGGATGTGATCGCTTCCCTCGGGACTAGGTCCTCCTCCTCGGGGTTGACACGGAGTTGGTATCAGGGAAGGACGGACGGACTGATGGACACGCAGAGCAATGTGGAGATGTCAGCATGCCCATTTCACAGATGCAGAGATGGGGGTCCCCAGAGTGATGGCCAGTGAGTGGCTGAGCTGGGACGTGGACCCAGGTCCTTCTCCTCTGAGAGCCTGTGGGGCCCCTGGGCGGGGCAGGGAAGTCACAGGTGCAATCTCTCTGAAGTTGGGACAACAAAGGTTCAAGTGCACAGCTCCTCCACTGTGGGAGTGGACAGGAGCCCCAAAGAGCAGAAGACAGAGCCAGAGCTGGCCCTGAGAGGCAGGGCTGACACGGGTGGAACGAGGGCAGGGAGTGGCCGTGAGGGGCTTACTGTGCCTGGGGAGCCCTGGGCAGACACGGGAGGCAGGCAGCAGGCGCAGATGGGTTTAGGCCATTCCTCTCCTCCTGCCTGAACTGCAGGCATCCATGCACAGGGAGGCTTGAGACCAGGGAAGAGAACCCGAGGCCCTATCTCTCCCCCATGGCAGCAGGCAGGTGGCAAGAAGATTGTGTCTTGGAGGCGACCTGATTCCAGGGTGGCTGGCATTGCAAGGGGTCCCTGCCAACCTGGCCTCTGCTCACTCATCACTCGCAGCCTCCTCAGGAACAGGGTGGCGTGGGAGGGAGGCCTGTTCTGCTTGGGGAGAGGCAGAGAGAAAGGTGCGGGTGCCCACCCATGGACACAGCCCAGCACCATTCCCATCCTCACTCCCTGTGTCAGGGGCCCACGTGGGGAATGGCCCAGATGGCCAACCTGGTGCCCACATCCACCCCTAAGTTTGGACCCATAGCTTGCCTTCCCACATCCCCCACCCTCCCTGATGTTCGGGTGGACCCTGCCCTGACAGCCCAGCCCCCGCAGGTGCTCCGATGAGGTGACCCGCCAGCTCCGGGCCACAGCCGCCCATAAGGTGGGGCGGGACGGAATCGTGGCTACCAGGCTGTGCACTCACCAGGATGACGTGGCCCTCACCAATGAGAAGCGGCTGCAGGAGCTGCCAGGTGAGCAGGGAGCCAGGGCTGGGCAAGACCAGCTGGGAGTGGCCCCAGGCAGCCCGGGGGTCCCCAGCCTCTGGGACTGCAAAGGCTCTTGGGGTTATGGAAGTCAATTTGCCTCTGAGAGCTGTGGTGAGCTGATGGCATAGCCCCAGCCATGCTTGAGCCACTCCTGCTCCAGGTCCTGGAGTGCCTGTCTAGTAAGTATTTTGGGGACCTGAACCACAGTCAGTGATTTGTGATGTGCTTCTGCAACTCTGTTCAGGTGAGATACACAGCTTTGAGGCTATGGACAGTGACCCCGAGCTAGCCCAGACCTTGGATGCCCAGTGTCCCGTCGGCCGACTTCTGCAGCTAAAGCGGGGGGCCCAGGTGGGTAAGAAACAGGCTTTAGAGCCCGGGAGCTTGGGTCGTCCTGCCCCCTCCACCCAGGCTACCCTGCAGCCAGCCAAAACCTTCCTCCTCCTGTGCCCGTGTACAACCTTCCTGTCTCCAGCTTTCCATCCCACTGGCCTCTTCCTTCCCCCGGAGCTCCTCCAGGCACTGCTGTGGGCAAGTCCTTCTCCCTTGCTGCAGTTCAGGTTCGTCGTCTCTCAAATGGGGAGGAGGGGAGGAAGTTGGCCACAGCCACGGCCACACTGCCGGGATGCCCGCATCCCATATTGCGGTGCCTGGGTTCTAGTCCCCACTCCACTTCCGACTCCGGCTTTCTGCTAACGAACAGCCTGGGAAGTAGGTAGCAGGTGATGGACCAAGTACTTGGGTCCCTGCCACCCACATGGGACATCTGAATGGTGTTCCTGGGTCCTGGTTGGGCCTGGCTCAGCCCTGGCTGTTGTGAGCTTTGGGGGAGTGAACCAGAGGATGGAAGATATTTCTGTCTCTCTCCCTCTGTCTCCCAGTCTGTTTCTGTCTCTCTGCCTTTTAAAAGAAATTAAACTTAAAAAATATTAAGTGGGGAAGGCAATACCTCCCTCCCTGGCTGTCTTCTGTGGTACCCCTACCAGAAGGGAGAGGGTTCTTGTTCCTCCCATGGCGTTGGTGGTAGGCAGAATGAGAGGCTTTGCCCGGGCTCCACAGGACACCAAGGAGAAATTCGGCAGCTCAGTGTGACTGGACCAAGATCCGACCACGCTCAAGTCCCTGGGATTTAGGTCACCTTACTGATCTGAACACCTCCTCTGAGGCCAGCTGAGCCAATGTCATTCCCCGGGGCCACAGTCAGCCAATGGCAGGGCTGAAGATGGAAACTCGGTGCCCACTGCCACTGCTGGGGAGGGGGCCAGCCACTGGGCCAGGGCTGCAACCCAGGCCTCCCCGTCTCTCTCCCTGGCAGGTGATGCTGGTGAAGAACCTAGCGGTGTCACGGGGCCTGGTGAATGGTGCCCGAGGGGTGGTGGTAGGGTTCGAGGCTGAAGGGAGAGGTAAGTGACGGTGGGAGGGGACAGTCCACCTGCTTGGGTCTGCAGCAGGGCCCTGGGCTGGCCAAGGGGAGCAAACAGCCGGGAGGGGGAAGCCGACAGGCCCCTGCCCCTCGCTCCTGAAGGGTTGGCCCTCTCCCTGCCTTCCCCAGGGCTGCCCCAGGTGCGGTTCCTGTGCGGGGTCACTGAGGTCATCCATGTGGACCGCTGGACGGTGAACGGCACGGGGGGCCAGGTCCTCAGCCGGAAGCAGCTGCCCCTCCAGCTGGCCTGGGCACTGTCCATCCACAAGAGCCAGGTGAGCACCAGGGTGGCAAGTAGGACCAGGCAGGGCAGAGAGAGGATGGGATGTGCCTGGGGTGATGTGTGGGAGGGAGAGGGCGGACACCAGGTGGTGCTGAAGGCTTCTGGAGGTTGAACTTGTCCTGGGTGGAGAGTTTAAGGGCAGCGGCAGAATATACCTTTGATTAGTGAGTTTCCCAGCCCCTTTTCCCAGACACGTTCCCAGCTTGTGAGTGGCAGAGGCAGGATCCGTGCCTGTCTGGCCACCGCATCCCTCAGCCAGTACCCCAGGTCTGTTCTCCTGCCTCCCTCAACCTCACACCTGCTGTCGCGCTCTCCCTCTGCCTCAAGGCTCTCTGGGCTGGCTGAGGAGCTCCAGGGGGTCAGGCTCTTGGATCCAAAGGGCTTTGGACTGAGCTGGCCCCGCCTCCGTGCCTCCCATCACCAGGGCATGTCTCTGGACTGCGTGGAGATCTCCCTGGGCCGTGTGTTTGCCAGTGGCCAGGCCTATGTGGCCCTCTCCCGGGCCCGCAGCCTGCAGGGCCTTCGCGTCCTTGACTTTGACCCCGCGGTGGTTCGCTGTGACCCCCGCGTGCTGCACTTCTACGCCACCCTGCGGCGGGCCAGGGGCCTCAGTCTGGTAGGAGGGGGTCGCTTGTTACTGGGTGCTGGGAGCTAGGGCAGAGGGAAAGCCCAGGAGGACCCGGGGGGAGGGGGCGGCAGAGCCCTATTCTGGCTCCCCAGGGGTCTAGGAGCAAGAGGACACAGGCTGGGGCCTTGGGGAGTAGTACTGTCTCATGACTGGGTTTCTCTGGCTCTCACCCAGGAGTCCCCAAGTGACAACGAGGCTGTCTCCGACCAGGAGAACGTGGATCCAGGCCTCTGAGCCTCGGCTACAAAGAGAGGGCAAAGGCTGGTGCCCATCGTCCTGCTCCCTTGTGGGCTAGGACCCCGCAGAGTAACGGGGAGGGAGGCAGTGTCTCCTCCTCCTCCTCCCTGAGTTCCCAGCCTCCTGATGGCGCACAGGAACCGGCTGGGTGGCGATTGCTCCCCTCTCGGCAGCCGGTGAGCTCTTTGCAGGCTCAGAAGTCACCATTTCTGTGCCAGCTGGTGTCAGAGGCCAGAGCTCTGGGTAGGGGCCAGACATACAGCCAGAGTCCTGCAGCTTTGGGCTGCAGGGGGATGGGCAGTGAAGACAGGTGCTCCAGGAGCAGCATCAGGCCTCTCCACTAGGGGGCCCCCTGGGGGCCTCAGGCCAGGAACTGGACCAGTGCAACTGAAGGGAAGTTGAGAGTATCCCTGGGCCAGGCTCCGCCTCGCACACCCGGAACATAGCTAGCGCTGGCGGTGCCAAGCCTGGGGACAGCCGCAGTAGAAGGCACACCCATGTTTCAAGCTGCTTTTTTGGGAGAGCAATGGTGTCTGGGAGCATGGACGTGGATGCTCTCAGGTTTATTTATTGAGGACTAATAAATGTGTGAATTGAGTAAGAACTGTGCCCGCTCCCTGCCTTCTCTGCTCCCTCTCATCTGCACCTCTGCACCCAGGTGCTCGGTGATGCTGCGATGGCAGAGATCACAGCACCCTTATGTGAGGGTGTGTTTGTAGCACTGGTCATTTGGAGAGGTTAATGACGAGCAATGAAATGACCAGGTGAGTCACTGTCACCCAGTGTTCAGACAGGGGCACGCTATGGAATCCACACGCTGAGAAACCCGGGCCTGCGCCGTGTCGGAAGCCGCTGGTGGCCTTGCTGAGGCTCCAGCTTGGATGTTCTGATGAGGAAGGGATCATCAACAAACTAGCTTCTGTTTCCCCAGAAGCTTGATAAGGGACCAGGTGTTTAGCCTAGTGGTTAAGATGCCTGTATCCCACATTGGGGTACCTGGATTCAGTTCCTGGCTCCAGCTTCCCGCTAATATGTTGTGCTGATGGCCCAAGATACTGGGTTCCGGGACCGGCGCCATGGAGTCACAGGTGAAGCTGCAGCCTCCCATATGGGTGCTGGTTTGAGTCTCGGTTCCTCCACGTCTGATCCAGCTCCCTGCTATGGCCTGGGAGAGCAGTGGAAGATGGCCCAAGTCCTTGGGCCCCTGCACCTACATGGGAGAACCAGAAGAAGCTCCAGGCTCTTGGCTTTAGATCTGCCCAGCTCTGGCCATTGCGGCTATTTGAGGAGTGAACCAGAGGATGGAAGACCTCTCCCTCTCCCTCCCCCTCTCCCACTCTTTCTAGAACTATTTCAAGTAAGTAAAATACATCTCCTGCCATTGCAGCCATTTGGGTAGTGAGCCAGTGGATAAAGGATCTCTCTCTCTCTCTCTGTGTAACTTTGCCTTTGAAATAAATAAATAAATCTTAAAAAGAGAGAGAGAGAGAGAGAGAGAAAGAGAGAGATACTGGGTTCCTGCCACCAACAAGGGAGACCTGTATTGAATTCCTGGCTCCTGACTTTGGCCCTGGCCATTGCAAGTATCTGGGGGAGTGAACCAAATTTGGGAGCTTTCTTCCCCTGCCTGTCTATATCTCTGCCTCTCAAAAAAAAAAAAAAAGAAAAAAGAAAAAAGGCGGGGAGGGGAATACTGGGCAGCATCGTGGCACAGCGGTGTAAGCTGCTGCCAGAGACACTGGCATCCCACATCAGAGCACTGTAGACGCTTCAGTAAATCAAAGAGGTCACGGTCAGTGATGGGTTCCTAGAGGTGGCCGAGGCCAGGAAGGCTACTTGGTGGCAGAACTGGAACTGAAGCTGGTGCGAGGGGAACAAGATGTGGGGAGGGGACTTTGAGAGGCTGAGATGGCAGGACAGGTGGGCTGGCCTGCTAGCGATGACCCCATCTCCTCTGAAGTCCTGGTATACTTCCCTGCCCCCACTGATCAATGGCCACGCTCAGATCCCCAATCCCAGAGCTCCCAACGCACCACACACACTGTAGACCACCAGGTGGCGCCAAGAGGTCACTCTGTCCCCTCCCAGAGACCTGGCAACCCTCTGTCTTCCGGAGCTGGGGCTTGAGTTCCTGTCCAGTGGGCAAGCTCCTTTGTTAAGCTTCCCTTGGGTGCCTTGTGGTTTGTGTTCATTGGCCCTCCAGCTTATTCCCCACAATAACCCTGAGAGGAGGCGGGACGACTGCCCCCATCTGATGGACACACGAACCTAATCTCCCATGGCCAAGGCCACATGGCCAGCTGGCTCTGAAACCCAAGTCCCACATACAGGGTCCTGGGTTTTTCAAAGGGGGGGGGTTCTCTTTAATTTTTAATTATTTAAAAGGAAGAGCAACAAATTAAGAAGACAGAGAGAGATCCATCCACTGGTTTACTCCCCAAATGGCCTCAATGGCCAGGGCTGGACCACTGGAACAGGCATCCCAAGTGGGAGCTTAACTCCCTGTACCACAACACAGGCTCCTAAGGGGCCATTTTTTCAGTGTTTACTTAGTGACAGGGAAAGACACCCAGAGAAAAACCTTCCATCCACCGGTTCACCCAATACCCACAGTAGTCTGGGCTGGGCCACGCTGGAGCCAGGAGCCAGGAGCCAGGGTGGCAGGGACTCAGGTACTTGAGCCGTCACCAGTGCCTCGCAGGACGCGCATCAGCAGGGAGCTGGATCAGAAGTGTCGGAGCTGGAACTGAAACTCCAGATCCGGGAGTGGTGGCTTCATCCACTAAGGTCCTGGGGTTCTTGCCAAGTCAGCCCGGTTTAAATCCTGAATGACCTTGGAAGGTCTGCCTGGTTTCTTCCTTAAAGAAATGGGAAAAACAGCCATCAGCTGAGTGACTGGAAGGCTGGGTGGGGCCCCCTGGGCTCTCATTGGCCTTTGCTACAATCACCTGAAGGGGTGCCCCGCCCCCTCCACCCACAGGGTGGCCTGGGGGGAATAACAATGGGACTCCCAGCAGCCCCAGGGAAAGGAACGCCCCCCCCTTCACAAAGACCCCTGGGCACCCGGCCCTGGGGTAGAGCCAGCCCAGCAGAGGGAGACTCACCCATCCCCCCATCCTCCCCATGGGTCTCCTCTCCTTTCCTCGGCCCGCCTTCTGTTGATTTTTTCAAGATCCACGTATTTGAAAGGCAGAGAGAAGATTAGCCAAGTGAGACACGGCGCCAGCATCCCGGGTTCTAGTACCAGTTGGGACGCCAGTTCTGTCCCAGTTGCTCCTCTTCCAGTCCAGCTCTCTGCTGTGGCCCGGGAGTGCAGTGGAGGATGGCCCAAGTGCTTGGGCCCTGCACCTGCATGGGAGATCAAGAGGAAGCACCTGGCTCCTGACTTCGGATCGGCGCAGTTCCGGCCGTAGCGGCCATTTGGGGGGTGAACCAACGGAAGGAAGACCTTTCTCTCTGTCTCTCTCTCTCACTGTCTAACTCTGCCTGTTAAATAAATAAATAAATAAATAAAAAGAAACAATGATTCTTCCCACTCAGCTTACCCCCTCCCACACTCCTACAAAAAAAAAAAAAAGAAAAGAAAAGAAAAGAAAAGAAAAAGGCAGAAAGAAAAAGAAAAGAGAGGCTTTCCGTCTGGTGGATCACTCCCCAAAGGCTTGCAGTAGCCAGAGTTGGGCCGAAGCCGGGAGCCAGGAGCTCCATCTGGGGCTCCCACGTGGGTGCGGGGCCCAGGTGCGTTAGTGGGAAGCTGAATCCGAAATTGCACAGCCAGGACCTTGTTATCCTAGCAGCTGGGCCATTCTCCAAGCAGGATCTCTAAGCCTCATTTACGGAGGAGGGTCTGAGACTTAGAGAAGCTCGGTGGCCTGAGGTCACCGGGCAGGCGGGCACCCGGGTGCCTGAGGCCTCTCTCCTTGGTGTTTACAGACTTTGCAAAAAAAGTGTCCCTGAAACCCCACCTCTCAAAGCATCACTTGCTGAGGTAAGGGGTGGCCTTGGGGTGAAGCAGAATAGGAAAGAGGGACCCCAGGTGCCACAGGAGCCCTGTAGTGTATGTGTCTGCAGGTGAGTGTGTTACACGGGTGTGTGAGTGTGCGCAAGGCACAGCTCACCTTCCACTCCTTAGACTCTGTGCCCCCTGCCTCGGGCTCCCTCAGTTGGCCTCAGCCTCCAGGCAGCACCGCCCCAGGCGCCCCCTCACTCCCCCCCCCACCAGGGTCCAGCCCTGGGCTCAGTAACAGAGCCCAGCTCACCTGGGGAGGTGTTGAGTGAGGAGGGCGTCCAGTTACAGCCCGAGCTGGGAGGACAGGCAGGGGCAGCCCGGGGACAGGAGCCCCAAGTCTGGGAGATGAGGGAGGCGGCAGGTGCCGGGGAGGCCCCGTGTCACACCCAACCCTTGCCAGGGCCCCTGACCTCCTCACACAGCTCCTCGCTACTCCCAGGGGCCGTGGCAGAGACCGGAGCACCTATGGGCAGCTGGGCGCATCTTGGGGGGAATGGGGGTCCCCTCCTCTGTGCTCCGGGCCTTTCTTTCTCTCCTCCACCCGAAGTGGCCTCGTCCCCGCCTCCCCCCTTCCCCCTGCCCTGGCACAGGGCCCCATGCCTATTTAAGGCAAATCTCCTCATCTCCTTTTAAATAACATTCGCTCCTCCTGCAGGAGAAGGCCGGCTGGGCCAGGGCACAGGGAAAGGGGACTGGAGCCCCAAGCACCCCCTCAGGCCTTCCTGCTCCCCCTTGGTCCCCTCACTGCCCAGCCCTGAGAGGGGCTGCACTCCCAGAATGCATCTGTGGGGGGGGAAGGGTCTGGGTGGGACTGACCTCTGACCTCACAGCCAGCCCAGCAGGAAGGAGGATACACACCTGCCCAAGGCTACAGAGTGAGTGGAAGGGGCAGCCTCCAAACCTAATCCTCCCCTTCCTGACCAGGTCTCCTTGTGCATGGGGTTGTGAGGGACACAGGACAGTGGCCCTCATGGGGCAGCCTGCATGGCACTCAGTGGGGTCCCGGCCCCGCCCCGTTCCTGCCCCACTTCCCTCCAGCCCTTCAGACTCCTGAGCCCCTGGCCCAGGCCTGCCCCCCACCTTCTCCTCCCCTCCTCCCAGCCTCTCCTGTCTCAGCCAGCTAATCCTCCTGGGGTCCTCGCATGACTGAGACCCACTCCTGGGGTGCGCTAGGTGTTGGTTCCTCCTTCAGACCTCATGGGAGCCTCAGGCTGGCCTGGGGGCTGGGGGACCCCAGGGAGAAAGATGCCCCAGCCTGGCTTCCCCGATCACTTAGAGCTGAAAGAGTCCCAGTGTTCTGTGGGCCCAGGGGACACTTGTCACAGATGAGGCAGCTGTGGCCAGGGAATGGGCGGGAAGGCCCAGGGGCTCCCCAGTGAGCAGAGGCTGGGTGTGATCCCGGAGGAGGCTCGGGCCTCAGTTTCCCCCTGTGAAATGGTGGGTGATCCGCGAGACCCCTTCCAGCCCAGACCTCTGTTCCCAGCCCCCTGCCCTGAGCCTGGCCTCCTCATGGCCCATGGATGTTGCTCCAACATCTCCGGTCTCCCCTCTCTTCCCCTCTGATAAACTGCTCCGCACCTCGCCCAGGTAACCTCCTGAGGCTTGGAGCCTGGTGTGATATAACTGGGTGACTAGTGTAGGTCTGTGTGAGGCGGGGTTCCCTGCGAGCCCCCAGATGTCACGCTATCCCTTACCTGTCCACCAAAATGCTCCCTCTGCCAGGATGCACCTGCCACATCCGGGACCTAGAGGCGGAAACACAGATATGAAGCTCTACGTGGAGCTTCTCATTGGCATCACACATGTAGAGGCCCCACCCCTGCCGCACAGAAGAGGCCAGCATTGGGGGAGCTCGTTCTCAGCACCAGGGCTGGAGGTGCTTCGCAGGTGCACTCTCTCCCTCCCCCCCTTCCCCCTTAGAGCAGGTTTTTCTGCATGTGGGGCCACCCGCCCTCACATGTGCAAGTGTGTTCACTTCCTCCTCTTCTGAACAGATGTTGGTAGCTCTTTGGGCACGTTATCTGTGCCTGCACTTAGAATGCTTGTCTTTGGGTGAAGAGAGCCCCCAGGCCCATAACACTAACTCACGCTCTCGCCCAGAAGGATCCTCCTCATTACTCAGCACATCTACCCACTACCAGGGACCCCGCTCTCAGTCTCCTCATTGCCAAGCAGTGACAACAAGCCCCCGCTTGGAGGACTGTGGTGTGGACACGAGTGTGGGGTGTAGTGAGGGATGCTGGATCAGCCCTCCTAGCTCCTCTGCCCTGGGAAGAAAGTTATCTTCAGCTGAGTTGGCCAGGTCCTCGGAGGCCTGGTTCAAGTCCCTCCCATGAGAAGCCAGTCTCCACTGCTGGCCTCCGTCTGTGGCCTCCGCCTCCCGGGGGCTGTAGAACTGGGGTTCCTGGAGAAGTGGTGGCTGGAACTGACGGAGAGAGTTCCTGGGTCTGTGGGACTGCCCACTTCCCCTTCCTTCTCAGATTGCCTTACAATATATACATATACATATATATGTATATATACAATATATATAAAATATATATATAATATATATTATATTAGACTTGAAAGGCAGTTACAGAGAGCCAGCTTCCATCTGCTGGTTCACTCCCCAAATGACTGCAGAGGCCAGAGTCAGGCCAGGCCAAAGCCAGGAGCCAGGAGCTTCCTCCAGGCCCCCTACCTGGGTTCCAGAGGCCCAGGCACTTGGGCTTTCCTCTACTGCTCTCCCAGGCGCATTAGCAGGGAGCTGGATCGGAAGTGGAGTAGCCAGGACTGGAAACAGGGCCCATATGGCATTGCAGGCGATGGCTTTACCATCTGTGCCACAGGGCTGCCCCATTTCAGTGACTGACTGAATGACTCATCCCTTCAGCAAGGGCGGGGAGGAGGAGCTGGCAGGAAACAGGAGGCTGCCAAGGGAAGGGAAGTGAGAACCTGCAGTTTGGAAGGGGTCTGAGCACTGATTCAGCCACTTACCAGTTATCCTACGTAACTATTGTAACTACTGATCCACTCTTGTTGGCTCAGTTTCCTCATCAGGGTAATGGGGAAAATGACACCCATTTGTTGTAGTTTGCGTGTTTTTTTTTTTTAAGCTGATTTTTTTTTTTTTTTTTTTTTGACAGGCAGAGTGGACAGTGAGAGAGAGAGACAGAGAGAAAGGTCTTCCTTTGCCGTTGGTTCACCCTCCAATGGCCGCCGCGGCCAGCGCGCTGCGACCGGCGCACCGCGCTGATCCGATGGCAGGAGCCAGGAGCCAGGTGCTTCTCCTGGTCTCCCATGGGGTGCAGGGCCCAAGCACCTGGGCCATCCTCCACTGTACTCCCTGGCCACAGCAGAGAGCTGGCCTGGAAGAGGGACAACCGGGACAGAATCCGGCGCCCCGACCGGGACTAGAACCCGGTGTGCCGGCGCCGCTAGGCGGAGGATTAGCCTAGTGAGCTGCGGCGCCGGCCTTTTTAAGCTGATTTTTTAAAAAAGGTTTATTTATTTGAAAGTCAGAGTTACAGAGAGACAGAGAAATCTTCCATCCACTGATTAGCTCCCTAAATGGCCATCATGTCTGGGGCTGGGCCAGGCTGAAGCCAGGAACCAGGAGCTCCAATCCAGATCTCCATGTGAGTGCAGGGGCCCAAGTGCTTGAAGCAGTCATTTTTTTTTTTTTTTTTTTTTAAGATTTGTTTTAAAAGGCAGAATTACAGAGAGGCAGAGGCAATGAGAGAGAGAGAGAGGTCTTCCATCCACTGGTTCACCCCCCAGATGGCAGCAACAGCCTGAGCTGAGCTGATCAGGAGCCAGGAGCTTCTTCTGGGTCTCCCACATGGGTGCAGTGGCCCAAGCACTTGGGCCATCCTCCCCTGCTTTCCCAGGCATGTTAGCAAGGAGCTGGATTGGAAGTGTGGCAGCCAGGGCTTGAACCAGCGCCCGTATGGCATGCTGGTGCTACAGGCAGCAGCTTAACCCGCTCCACTACAGTGCTGGCCCCTGAGTATTCATTTTGGTGTTCTCCAAAGGCCTATGTGCTTAAGGCTGGGTCTCCAAAGTCTTATGTTAATGGATAATAGATTAAGGATGGAAGCTTGATCCAATTATGGTGTTTAGGAGGTGGGCCTAGAGGGAGTCCTCAGGTCCTAGGGGTGAGACTGGGAAGGAGGTTGGCTATGTAAGTCCAGTGTGGTCCAGCTTCCCTATGCTTCCAGGCTCCCCACGGATTGTTCTGTTCATGCTTTGCCATCACCAGCCTCTGTCCTCACCTGCTGACCACACCAGCGGGGCCCACCTGATCCTGGACTCTGAGCCTCCAAAACTATGAGCCGAAATAAACCTCCTGGGGCCGGTGCCATGGCATAGTGGGTTAGGCTACCGCCTGCGGCAGCAGCATCTCATAGTAGTGCTAGTTTGAGTCCTAGCCACTCTACTTCCAATCCAGCTCCCTGCTACTGCTCCTGGGAAAGCAGCAGAGGATGGTCCAAGTCCTTGGGCCCCTGTACCATGTGGGAGACCAGGAAGAAGCGCCTGGCTTCAACCTGGCCCATTTCCAGCTCTTACAGTCAGTTTCTTCTTGTCAAAAGTAGGGTTTGGTACAGAAGTTTCCCAAGTCTTGTGCAGTTAGTATTCGTAGCTGTTTCATGTCCACGGGTACTTTGCACACTGTAGAGACAACTATAGCTACTCAGTTGTGTGCGTGTTCTGATGGCTGTGGATGGTTACACCAGGAGGTCTAGGACTAGACCCAGGGACAAAGCCTCCCTCTCTCCCTTGAGGCCAGTGGCCGTTCCAGGAGGGCTGGGCGAGATTTGAAGGCCACCAAGGGCCCGGGGGAAGGGGCGGGCCTTTGAAGGGAAGGGTGACATCATGGAAGCTTGGCTCTGGCTTCTGCCCAGCGCCCGGTTCTATGGCTGCACTGGGCCAGAGCCTGGGCCTGGAACTCGTCAGCCCCACCTGTCAGCCTTCCCCGGCCGGCACGCAGGGGCCTTCGGTTATCGGAGGGCTGAGCTGGGCGCCGTCTCAGCGCAGAGGCCCCACTTCTCATCCCTGCTGGGGCCACAGGGCAGCGGGTTGTGTTCCTATCAGCCAAGAACCTCCCAACTGGCCTGGTCTCTGCTATGTGACAGGAAGTATGCAAAGGCCTCATTCACTCCTTCCTGTCTTCATTCAGTAAATATTTATCCAACATACAGCGTTGCCTGGCCTTGAGCTGATCCCAGGGAACTGGACAAAAATCCCTTCCTATATTCCAGTAAAAGAAGCTGTCAAGGAACGCAGACATGTGATGGGATATCAAAGAGAGGAATTCAGAGGCCCCAAGAGAGGAAAACTTGTAGCATGTGGAGAGGTAGCAGACCAGGCAAAACGGGCACACAGCAGGCACTCCCTCAGAAGCACCTGCTGGGCCAAGTTACAGATGATCTTAAAGATGCATGCTTCCAGGGGACAGCGCTGTGGCGTAGCTGGTAAAGCCACTGCCTGCAGTGCCAGCATCCCTTATGGGCACCAGTTTGAGTCCCGGCTGCTCCACTTCCAGTTGGCTCTCTGCTGTGGCCTGGGAAAGCAGTGGGAGATGGCCTAAGTACTTCGGCCCCTGTACCCATGTGGGAGACCTGGAAGAAGGTTCTGGCTCCTGGCTTCGGATCAGCACAGCTCCAGCCTTTGCAGCCAACTGGGGAGTGAACCAGCGGATGGAAGACCTCTCTCGGTGTGCCGGCGCCGCTAGGTGGAGGATTAGCCTATTGAGCCGCGGCGCCAGCCTTCCAGCTTCTTCCTAACGCCTCTCCTCTTTCTGTGTAACTCTTTCAAATAAATAAATCTAAAAAAAAAAAAAAAAGGGCAAAAAAAGCTTCCAGCCAGGTGATTTGCATTCTCACATAAAACAAAGAAAATACCCCAGAAACACAGAGGCAACACTCTTCATGACAACGAAAAATAGTGATTCAGCCCCGATGGTCGGCAGACGAAGTGAACGCCACAAACGCTCCAGAGCACACGAGGCAGGTGCCCACGCGGCCGGCCAGCTCCCGGAAGTGGGAGCAGGGACTTGGGAGTGTGGGGAACAAAAGGTGGCTGCGGTGGTCAGCGCAGAGCTGGCAGTCCAGGAGGAGACCCTGGAGCTCCACAGAGGGTCTCCTTGGTCATCTAGATCAGCACAGGCAGGTTAGGAGACCACCAGAGGGCAGGGGTTACAAGGATTCACCTGGGGCGGTGTTTGGCTCTGTGGTTAAGACAGAGGCTCTCACAGCCCTTATCCCAGCACCTGGATATGGCAACCATATGGTAACCCTGATGACCGGCTCTGGCTCCAGCACCTGACTCCAGCTTCTTCCTTTTTTTTTTTTTTTTTGACAGGCAGAGTGGACAGTGAGAGAGAGAGACAGAGAGAAAGGTCTTCCTTTGCCGTTGGTTCACCCTCCAATGGCTGCTGCGGCCGGCACACCGTTCACCCTCCAATGGCTGCTGCGGCCGGCACACCGCGCTGATCCAAAGGCAGGAGCCAGGTGCTTCTCCTGGTCTCCCATGGGGTGCAGGGCCCAAGGACTTGGGCCATCCTCCACTGCCTTCCCGGGCCACAGCAGAGAGCTGGTCTGGAAGAGGGGCAACTGGGACAGAATCCGGCGCCCCGACCGAGATTAGAACCCGGTGTGCCAGCGCCGCTAGGTGGAGGATTAGCCTATTGAGCCGCGGCGCCAGCCTTCCAGCTTCTTCCTAACGCTGACACTGGGAAGCAGCTGTGAGGGGTTGAGCCAGA